TTACTTTTAGATGTATTTATGTTAGGTGTGTCTAAAAGTAAAAAATTGCTTTAAAATATTTAAAAATTCAGTAAAACAAAAAAACACGAAAAATAAAAAAGTATTAATTTTTTTGAAAAATGTTTTTGAAAAATGGAAACAAGCAAGGTGATTGGTTTTAGGATTTGTTTGGAATGTGAGTTGACCCTTTTGACTTTTTAAGCTCTTTATTATTTTAATTTGGGACTAAAAGTCCTATTTGAGATAGGTTTTTTTCGCGCTATTTTAATTTTTTGTAAAAGAAAAATTAAAATAGTTATGATTTTGATGGTAAGATTTTATCTTTTAGACTAAAAAATTTATTTTATCTTTTTTATGATTATTTTAACCAAAAAAATCCTATTCTAACTTATGGCCAAAAAAAGTTTAATTCATTTGACAGGTTAGTTCGGATGTACTCTGCAAGTGATGATGCTTCTTCTTGCCATGTTTTCTTTTAATGATATATATATTATATATACTCTTATATTTTTTGTTACTTCTTGAGCCATCCCTTTGCATCAATAAAATTTTAGATAAATTATTCCTGAGATTTGAAGAATTTTAGTCAATTTTACACTTTTAATATGATTATAGTTAATTTCACATTTTTTGACGTAAGATTAAAGTGATCGAAACTATGTAGATGGTACGTAAATATGAAATAAACAAAGATAAAATATGTATTTTAATAAAAAAAAAATGGCAATATCATTTTTCCAATTCATACTACGGCTAACAAATTACTGATGAAAATAGGCTAACTATTATGTGAATTAAAATCTCAAAGAATCCTAATGTAATTTTAATTATGATATTGTAAGTGATATAATTGGTTGATAATTAGAGAAAATATGGGAGAAAGTGTTACCTCTAATATCTTAATTGATTGTCATATCACTGAACTTGAATATTAGGTCTAATTATTATTTTTTTTCTCACAATAACAATGATCATTGAATAATTAAATAAAACCAAGAAAAAAGAAGAGACAGAGAGAACCAACATAATTTTTTAGACACAGGATCTTCACTTTTGAAAATCTAAATTCCTTGTTTACAGAATATTATAATCATAAAATGGTTCAAGATTCTTATACTTCAAAATTCTTCACATAATTTAACCATTATGAATGTTTGGTAACAAGAAGATTTTGGAATTAAAAAATTTTGACTGGTTTTTCAAGTAATGAAATGAAGTGAAAGGTTGCTTCAAAAAAAAATAAAAGAAGTTGAGAGGTTGAGAGTTGCGGCCGGATATATTTTTGTTGAGGAAAAGAAATTAGAAAAATATTTGAAATTCTTAATTTGACTTATAATAGTTATGGTAAGTATCAACTTTTTACTGATAAAAAAAATTATAAATCTCTAAAATTCTCAGAAATATATACCGACAGCTATCCATGAAAACCTTGTCCCTGAAAGCACAGACATGAGGGGCCTTAATGACACTCCGTCTTTGTTCCTAACAAAAGTATTGGCCACAGGTGCCAGCCCATACAACCTCGCCGCACCGTCACTGCTGCCGCTGCTATTATTTATGACAACCGCAGAAGTTGGCTGGACGGAGCAAGTGAGCACAGAGTGGTTGGCCAGGAGCTGGAGCATCCGATCCAGCATGGCGGTTGCGTCAGGATTTCGAGTGGGAATCCGCGACACTATCTCCAACACAGAAAGGTGAGTACCGGGACCCGCCTCGGCCATGATCTCCAGCACGTCTAGCTCGACCACTGCTTGCATCACCATGGGGAAGCACAGAGGAGCTAGCCAGTTGCATGGCATAGGACCAGTGCTGGTTTTCTTCATCATTATTAACATGATAATCATTGTAATTTGAGGAGGTTTGAACTTTTTCCCAAATTCGTTTTTGCTGAAGGTTCATTTTTCAAAAACGAAGAAGAAGGAATTTTATGCTGTTACTCTCATATGTTCTGCAAGAACTGGAAGCTGGAGCCAATTTATAGATGATACACTTTCGAGGGATGGTTAAAATACTGTTAATTTGTAGGGGTACTTTTTTTAATTTTTTATTTTTTAAAAAAATTAGGCCTCTTTCATTAAGGTGAATGGAGGGAATATATTTCTTTCCTATGTACCCAAAAAAAAAAAAAAAAAAATGGAGGGAATATAGCTGCAAGATTTTAAAACATGGTCTAATTAATAAAAAAATTTCAATCTTGTGGCATAGATGATTGGGACATATCTCTAGAAATAGAATTGAAAAAATATATAGGTTATTGGTCCACACTAAAAAATAAATCTAACATATGTACCTTTTTTTTTATTATTATTATTTTTTATTTTAGGCCCTATTTGATAGAATATTTTATAAATTAAAATTTAACATTTATCTGATATATTATAAAAATAATTTTTAAAAGTAATAAATTAAGGCCTATTTTGAGAATTAAGTTTAAAATTTATTTTCTCAATTTTTTTTTAATGTGTAAAAAAAATGAAAAATAATACGACTTAAAAAAATTTTAAAAATAAATTAACTGCCTTTTAATTTAATTATAAAAAATGCCTACCTCATTTCAACTATTTTTTTTATGGGGTTGGCTTCCTTCAGTTCGTCCGTGATCGGCCTGGAGTGTACTGTTGGCCCTCACTACAGGTCCATTATTCGATAATTTGAACTGTTCAGTATGTAAATGTCACAAGCCCAAATTTTTTTTTTTTAACGTCATAAGATTTAAATAACAATAACTTACAAGATAAAATTTTAACTATTAATTAGAACTTTTAAGTTCTTACATAATCAAAGTCCAACACAAAATAAAACTACAAGTTCACACACAACGTCACAAAAGTTAAATCCCAATACAAGGGATAACAGGATTTTAT